AAATCCTAAACCTTAAAACCCTGAACCCTAAACCCTAAACCCTAAATCCCAAACCCCTGACTCTAAAGCCCCAGCCCTCGATCCAGGTGGCCCGTGAGGTCGATGCCCTCCGCCGGGACCAGGCGAGCTTTGGGTTAGGAACCCAAAAAGGACATAAGCATAAGCATTTCATAGGGATATCCCTACCTTATTGGGCTTCTTTATAAGGGGGGTTTATATGGGATATCCCTATCCTAATTTTTGCTTATGTGCTTTTTGGGGGCCCTATTGGGCGAGGGAGCTGGCAGGACCAGAGGCGAAAACGGGTGCGTGGGGGGGTCGTATACGGTTTAGGGTCTTTAGGGTTTAGGGTTTCGGGTTTCGGGTTTAGGGTCTATAGTTTAGGGTTTAGGGTTTCGGGTTTAGGGTTTTGGTTTTTTGTTGGGCAGAGGGGTTTGGCGTTTAGGGTGGCATCGTGCTTTACCCCTGAAAAGCCTGTTTGAAGAACTTCAAGACTGCAGGGACAGATGCTCAAGAAGTTCAAGTCCATGCTGGAGGCCGTGGCTTGTGGCACAGGGCCGAGATGAGCAGCATCGCTGTGTCCATGTGATCGATTAGTTGAGAAGCTACGATGCATGTTAAAGCTTTCGCCGGCCTTTTCAATGCTCAGAGCCAGGCCTCACAATATCCAAAACCCTGGTCCTAAACTGACGAGCCCGCAACCCCTAACTCTTTCGCAAGAGTTTGTCCATCAACGTATGATTGTACTAACGCTGGTAGCAGCCAGTCTGAGCAAGAAGTGCAGACATCATTATGATGATGTCGACCATAGTAATGGTAATCAGAATGAAACAGCAGCTGGTGATAGTAATTAACCAAAAATGTCTATCCGACAGATAATGAGGATCACATTGATAGTGACGTTGATTACCACAAGGACCATAGAAAGACTAATGATACTGCAGCCTGCATCATTAGTAGCAGGGCCGGCGGGTGGTATTGTAGGATTTTTTTGTGGCAAATTTGCTGCTCTGGATGATGCAAGAGAACCCTAAACCCAAAACCCTGAACCCTAAACCCTAATCCCAAATCCCTAAGCCCTAAACCCTTAACCCCAAGGCTCAAACCTCAAGATCCGAACCCCGAAAGCCTGAACCCCTAAACCCTGAAGAGCCTAGGCTCCGAACTGCAGCCTGACCATGAAACCCTAAACCCTGAACCCTAAACCTTAATCCCTAAACCCTGAACCATAAACCCCAAACCCTAACCCCTAAACCCTAAACGCCAAACCCTAAACCCAAATCCCTAGACCCTAAACCCTAAACCCTAAACCCTCCACCGAAGTGCACTCCCGACTCGCAGGATGAGGGGGAGATGCTCACGGCTTCCGGAGAGCACGCGAAGTCCTTGAAGAAGTGGAAGGACTACCAGCGAAACTTCTGGGCTCACACAGAAACAACTCGAATGGGGGGTTTAGGGTTTAGGGTTTTGGCTTTGAGGTTTAGGGTTTAAGGTTTGAGGGTTCGGTCTAGTCTGGAATGGCTCTTTTTAGGGGCCATTCTAAAGGGGGCCCAGGGACCGGGGGGAATTTGGGGGGTTTGGGAGTAGGGAGTTCAGGATCTGGGTTCAGATCTCTAAAGATTTAGGGTTTGGGGTCTAGGGTTTAGGGTTTAGGGTTTCGGGTGTAGGGTTTAGACTTCAGGGTTTGGGGTTTGGGATTTAGATTTGAGGTTTTCGGGTTTGGGGTTTGGGGTTTGGGGTCTAAACCCCAAGCCGTAAAGCCTAAACTAACCCTGAACCCGAAGCCCTAAAGCCTGAACCCTGAACCCTGAAGCCTAGGCTCCGAAGCCAGAACCTTGAACCCAAAACCTTATTCAACATCTGGGTCCAGGACTGGCTTCGGAGGGTCATGGGGCAAGTTTGCGTTCAACTACCTTATATAGAGCCGTTGATACATGGAACAGGGTTTTGGGTGCATTCGAGCAGAAGAATAACAAACCCTAAAACCCTAAACAGTGTTCGGGCTTCTCCCGAAGTTCACCGAGTTGCTCCCCGTGATCCCATCCTCCACAGGACCTTTTCCCCGGAGATCCCTAAACCCTAAACCCTAAACCCTAAACCCTAAGCCCTAAACCCTAAACCCTAAATCCTAGATCTTGGCCCAGACCAACTTTGAACCCTTGAGCCTGGGCCCCTCACCCGAACCCTAAGGCCTAGACCCCTAGATGATATACCAAGGCACCTTCCCCTAAAGCCTAAACCCTCGAGTTTTTGAGGGCCTAAGCCTAGACTCAGGGTCTCAACCATTTTCCGAACCCTACGGCCTAAAGCCGAATCCTTAAACCCCATGCAAGAATCAAGCCCTCATATTGCATACTATGATCCCTCAACCCTAAACCCTAACCCCTAAACCCTAAACCCTAAACCCTAAACCATAAACCGTCTTAGACCCTGAAAGCCCAACCTGTGCACAAGCCTTTGGGATCCCGAACGACCTGAGCCCTGCAGGACCGCATCGTGCGACGCCTCAGGGCCGAACGCCTCGGCACCGGGGACAAGGCCCAACAGCTCTTCTTGGAGTTTTTTTTGTTTTTGTCGCTTTGGGATTTTTACGGTACGGATGTGTTGAGGGCTGAATTTGGTCAGTTTCTTATTACCCTAAACCCTAAACCCTAAACCCTAAACCCTAAACCCTGTTCGTGCGGCTTCCTGGGGTGCTGAGATTTGAGGGCTTCAGGGTCCTAAAGCCTCTCTCGGAAGTGCCAGCATGTTCATACCGTTCAGAGGCCAGGAAAGGGCGGGTGGGGGCTGGGGCGAGTGGAGAGAGGCGGGCCTTAAGGGTTCAGCCCTAAACCCTAAACCCTAAACCCTAAACCCTGAGGGGTACTTAGAAATAATGGTTAATCTTTGGCTACTATACACCCTAAGAAGCAGCTAAAATTATAATGCTTGCTAGGGGTCTAAGTTCAGTATAGAACCAGGGTTTCGGAGTTTCTGGGTTACCGGCTTCGGGCGTTGAGGGGCTTGGGATACCCTCCTGCAGCTCCACCCTGCAGAGACCCAAGCGCCTAGAATATCTTCCAAGGCTTGGTGCGGATGTCATGGAAATAGAAGCAGTGCCCTGAAGTCCACAGGAATCATCTTAGGGTTTAGGGCTTGGGTTCGGGTTTAGGGTTTAGGGTTTAGGGTTTGGGTTTAGGGTTTAGGGTTTAGGGTTTGGGTTTAGGGTTTAGGGTTTATCACCACCATCATCTGGTCATCAAGAAGTATGCTCTGTTGATAGCAAGGAGTACGGACATAGTAGCAGGCCTGAACCCTGAGCCGGACTCTGCAGCCAAGACTCTCGACCCTAAACTCCGAATCCCCAACACGCCAAGAAGCCATGAGCCAGAGCGCCCCAAAAAAGGAATCCCCACGAAATCTAATCCGAAACAAACTCTATAGAAGCTCCCAGCCCTAAACCCTAAGGCCTAAACCCTAAAACCCCAAACCCTAAACCCCAAACCCTAAACCCTAAACCCCTAAACCCTAAACCCTAAACCGCATTCAGGAATTGGTTGCGCTCATCCTCGCGGCGCTCCGAGGCGTGCGCCTGGATCCAGAGGAGCCCTCATAGGGCAGTCTCCGCAGTTTCAGGGCTTTGAGAAGCTGAAGGATATTCAGGATTTTGGTTCAGGCATTTGATCTTTGGAGGTGAAGGTTCAAGGGTTTGGGGTTGAGGGATGCAGGCTATGGCTATGGCATGTAGGGTTGAGGGTTTAGAGTCAGCTTCTTCTGCATCTTCGAAGGTACCGCGTTGACGGTATGTGGTAGTGGTGGTGGCGGCGCTTGTGGTACTCGTATTTGTACAAAAAATATAGCAGTGGCAGTAAGAAAGAACTGGAGAGCTCTTTTAAGCTTGCCCCACGAAGACAAGACATCCGTGAGACCCTCCCAGACATGTCAGGACGTGTTGATGCTGCAGAACAGGGAGAAGTACATGGATGCCATGGAGGACATGCGGACAGATCGAACTGAACTATAGTTGTGTGCTGAAATTAAATGTTTACAACCCTAAACCCTTGATCCTAAACCCTAAACCCGCATCGCACTTTTCAAAAACCCTAAATCCTAAGCCCTAAACTCTAAGCCCAGAAAAACCTTAAGCCCTAACAAAAAAACTCTAAGCCCTAAACACTCAACCCCAAACCCAAAACCCAAAACCCTAAACCCAAGCCCTAAACTCTCAACCCCAAGCCCTAAACCCTAAACCCTAAGCCCTAAACTCCCAACCCCAAACCCAAAACCCTAAATCCTAAACCCTAAGCCCTAAACTCCCAACCCCAAACCCAAAACCCCAAATCCTAAACCCTAAGCCCTAAACTCCCAACCGCAAACCCAAAACCCAAAATCCTAAACCCCAAACCCCGAACCCCCAAGTCCCAAATCCTCCTCACACCCAGCCCTGGGCTTTGAACCCGAGGCACCAGGCCCCAAACCCTGGGGTCTTAGGGTTTAGGGTTTTAGGGTTTAGGGTTCAGGGTTTCGGGTTTTAGGGCTTTGGGGGTCTTACTTGGAGGATCATGGGACTTCGTAAGTAAGGTTATAAGTTCCTTAATTGGGGTTATAAGCAAATATAGGTATGTAGTTACATTAATTATAAGCCTACTTACTAAGTCCCATAATACTTTGAGTTTCCTGAACTCTGACCTCAACGCCTCAGCGCCCTCTGACTTTAAGCTCTGAGAAGCAGAAGAGGCGTAGCCTGAGGGTTCCTGATGATGCTATAGCCATACTATAAAGGAGCCCAAAACCGGATTCTAGTCATTAAGGTCCCTGCGTTACACCCCAAAACTAGAAGAATCAACATCAAACCAACGCCCGAGCCCTGAACCCCTGAGCTCGAAACCGCCTAGATTTGATCCCTCAGGAGAAGCGGAGCTCGGTCACTTTGAGCATGATGCCCATGCCCAGGTCGGCTCGTCGGGTTATAGGATTTAGGGTTTAGGGTTTGGGGTTTAGGGTTTTAAGGGTTTAGGGTTTAGGGTTTAGGGTTTGGGGTTATCGGGTGGTCGGGTTTAGGGTTACAGGGTTTTAGGGCTATCAGACTTAACTATGGGCTATCGAGTTTTGGGGTCATAGAGTTGTAGGGTTAACGGATTATCGGGTTAAGTTTAGGGTTATCGGCTTCTGGGGTTGCCCGAATTTGGGTTACATTCTCATCGGGTTCTCGGGAACTCGGGTTTCGGGTCCCCAAAGTCTAGGACATTTTCAGGTGGGTAGTTACCGCTATAGGAGCCTTGTAGAAGGTCTATATACCTTATAGAAGCCTTATATACGCTAAACTCNNCACCTGTAGTTTCCTTTAATTTTTGACGCAGGGATGGTGTGATTTCCCCAGGGCCAGCCGCTGGATGCAGCACACGGCCCGGAGCTCAGAGCGGCCCAAGGGCAGCCAGGGCTTTTGGAGGCTCTCCATCTGCTGTTATCATATTCGTTTATGTACATGTGTTATTATGTCATTGCATTGCATTTTATAGCAGTATTATAGTGTTCTAGTATTCTAGTATTCTAGTGTCATAGTATTGGGGCTTGGGGGTTGAGGGTTTACAAGGGTTTAGGGGTTTTGGGGGTGTTC